GCGGCAGCACCGCGTGCGCATGGCGCTGGGCAACGGGCTGCGAGCCTCCATCTGGAGGGAGTTCATGGCCCGCTTTGGCATTGCCCAGGTGGCCGAGTTCTACGGAGCCACCGAGTGCAACTGCAGCCTGGGGAACTTTGATGGCAATGTAAGGCTCCACCACTCTCCCTTGTGTCGCACAGGGTGACAGCTGCCCTGGGCAGGGTTGGAAATCCAGATGGGCTGTTTGCTCCGAGAGGTTTGGCGTGGGCTGCCATCCACCCACAGGAGGTTTGGCTGTTGTGCGGTGCCAGCTCTGTGGTATTCTGGGTGTGTGTGGGCAGCAGGCTCAGGTGGGACAAATGTCCCTGCTACCCACAGCTCTGAGCACTTTCTGTTCTAGGTTGGGTCATGTGGCTTCAACAGCAGGATTGTACCAGCCGTGTACCCCATCGGCTTGGTGAAGGTGGATGAAGACACCATGGAGCTGATCCGGGGGCCGGATGGTGTCTGTATCAGCTGCAAACCAGGTGAGGGCACCCACAGGGATAAGTCTCCTCAGCCCTGCATGAGTCTTTCCCAGTACTTCAAGATAATTTCCCTGTATTCCCTGTGAGTCTCTGCTCAGTTAAACCTCACCAACCCCATTAGACACCCTTTTTGCTTGGCTGTGGGTGGTTGCTTCCCCTCTTTATCCTCTCTTCTCACTGCAGGGGAGCCAGGGCAGCTGGTGGGTCGCATTGTCAAGAGCAACCCCCTGCAGCACTTTGATGGTTACCTGAACCAGTCAGCCACCAACAAGAAGATTGCCAGGGATGTGTTTACAAAAGGGGATGCTGCCTATCTCACAGGTGGGTCAGGCAGGACCCCTCTGTCCGCTGGGAATAGAGGAAAAGGGTACCTGAGTGGGTATGGGGACTGTCCCAGGCTAGTGGCAGTGCCCTGAGATGGTCCAGGGTTGCTCCTAACCCCTCTGACACCTTTTTTTCTTTTTTTGTTCCTATTCCTCTCTTTGCTGCAGGGGATGTCCTGGTGATGGACAAATATGGTTACATGTACTTCCGTGACCGCACCGGGGACACATTCCGCTGGAAAGGGGAGAACGTCTCCACCACAGAGGTGGAGGGAACGCTGAGCCGCATCCTCAACCTGACAGACGTGGTGGTTTATGGGGTGGAGATCCCAGGTAGCTGAGAGGGAAGAGGATGATCAGAGGAAGCAGTCAGGCCTCTGGAACTTGAGTGTGAGCGTGTCCTGCAAGTCCAGATTGGTGTACCCTTTTCAATAAGCTGAACTGAGGCTCCCCATGGGCAAGCTGGGAAGAGGCCGTAGGGGATGTGCCTAGTGGGAACCCTCTCTCAAGCTTTGATTCTGGCTGGTTTGGAAGGACCCTCTGTCCTTTCTGGACAGGCTGCAAGTGCCTCCTGCAGGAGGAGGTGACCATGACCGCAGGGTGTCGCTGGCAGCCTTAGCCACAGGGTGGTGACACAGTGTGACACAGCTGGACGTGCCAGTGTTTGGGTACAAAGCAGAGTCTGTGCCGGAGGCCTTGCTGGGGTGAGGCAGAGGGAGGTGATCTTACAGCGACAGTGTGTCTGAGTGCTCTCCCTTCTTCTCTGCCTCGTAGGGATCGAAGGGAAGGCAGGAATGGCAGCTGTTGCTGACCCAGAGAACTCCTGTGACCTAGAGGACTTTGCCAGCAAGCTGAAAAAGGCTCTGCCGCTCTACGCCCGTCCCGTCTTCCTGCGGTTCTTGCCTGAAGTCTCCAAGACAAGTGAGCCATGGCGTGTGCACTCGCATTGGACATGGAGCTGGGGGAACCTGAGGGTGGAAAACCTAGTTATGGAGACCAATCCGTGGTAGGGTGGGGCTGGAGTCTCTTTCCCCCACAGAGTCCCTGGCCAGTTCCTCGGGTGGTTTCAAGGCATGGGGATGCAAAGCTGTGCCTGGGGCAGCACATGTGCAGTGGGGATGGGAGTGAGTGGCCAGTGACTCCTTATTCTTTCTTCTCTCACTGCTCCAGGCACTTACAAGTTTCAGAAGGTGGAGCTGCGCAAGCAGGGCTTTGACCCTGCGCTGGTGAAGGACAGGTTGTACTTTCTGGACTCCAGGCAAGGCGCTGGACCAGGCAGCAGTCAGCAGGATCCAGTCAGGACAGCAGAAGCTGTAACCAGTGAGGCTCAAGCAAGGCACCTCCCAAATCCTGCTGGGGAGAGGGGGCGAGACAGGCACTGGGGAAGGAAAGGTTCACGGAGTGATAGAAAGGCACGCTAGAGGTTTTATTTGATGAGTTCTACAGATAAGGGTTCGGGGGGAACACAGAGGGGACCAAGGGGAGGGGCATGGTCACATACCAAAGCATAGACTCATTATGGCTTTATTTTCTACTTGGTACAGCGGTGGTGGTCCCATGCCATGGGAGGGGCA